GGGCTGGGGGAGAGAGAGACCCCCGGGGCTGGGCCCAGAGGGAGGAAAACCCCTCGAGTTCTGTGGAGGGAAACGGGGAGCGAGGCCGGGACCGCGGGGCGTGTGCGGGGCCGGAGCTGCCCCTGCCCGGGCTGGGGGGCTGGGCCCGAGGGCAGCGCTGCCCCTGCCCCGGCCCTGCTGGCCCTGGGCAGCAGCACCTCGGCTGATGTGCTTCTGCCATCCCCTTGATGCTGAAATCAGCTACTTCGGAGAAGCGTAGCGCGTACTGGTTAATTTTTTTTTGATCAGTGGTTGCACTGCGACTGTATTTTTAAGTAGTTTCAGGTAACGAGCGCTTAAGTAAAAGCAGTTAATTGAGAATTCTACCTTTTAAATAGCTGCAGAAGATGCAGAAAGAAAAAGCAGACATGCAGAACGAGCTGACTGACTGTGAAGAGCAAATAGAAGCAATGACATCTCATTTGAAAAACGTCAGACAAGAGATAAGCTTCTATCAGGTAAATCACTACCTGTGGCAGATCCAGTTTGTCAGACAGACTTGGAACCTGAGCATCTTTCTGTGGCTGCTATCCCTGTGTATTCTTTCAGCATCATTTGCCAGGCCATTATTTCAGGACTTCCATAGGAAACAACAGTTATCTCAGTGATACTATTTGATGTTCATTGGAAAGACCTTTAAAATTAAAGGGTTGGACGTAGAAGAAAGCCAAGAAGAGAAATTTTAGAAATCTTCATGAATTGGGACTTTTGAAGAAAAAGTTGGTCAAGGAAAATAAAACATCAGTGTAGGTGAAAAACAAATGTACAGTCTTTGTAATGGTCAAGAGTTAGTTGTAGAGTGCTAATAAAGAGTTAATTCTTGGATGTGAAAAATGATCTGAGATGGTTAAGGTGTAAGTCTTTGCTTGCAGTCCACGTTAACTGGCCAAAATGGGTGGTTTACATTTCCAAAGAGTCCCAAGGCAATGCTGCACATCTTTCAGGTAAAATATCCTAGGTGAAAAAGCCTGAAGAAATTTCCCTGCAGCTGAACAACTTATTAGTTCTTTGGGTGCTATAGTTGAGTTTTGAGGTGTGTATATATATGTTGTAACACATATATTTGAGATACTAAAATCAAAACAATAACGTTGTTCTGAAAGTTCTTACATTTACATTACAAAATCCTCTCATCTCTGACTTGGGGTTTGGCTGTATGTAAAAATAAGGGGGTTTTGTTGGTGTATACCTCGTTTATTGTATAATGCTGAACTGTATTATTCTCTAGTCTCTTTATAAAGCCAAAGAGAATGAAATTGAAACTGAACAACACTTAAAAGCCCTTGCTGAGAGAGAACATGGACGTCTCAAAAGTGAGATTAAACGACTGGAAGATGAAATTGTTTCCTTAAGAGAAAGGAAAACCAGTCAAGAAGTAAGGTTTAAAGTTTTTTAAGAGAACACCCATATTCGAGTTAGATTTTATGACTTGTCTTCACTTGCATGTACAGCAATAATAATAAAAGACTAGTTAATGATATTGAATAATATAGCTAATTATACTGAATCTCACAAACTGTAATAAATGACCTGAAGGTGCTTTTCCCTGTGTAGGTAAATTGAGTGACACTGAGAATCTCCTTGCATAGGCTGGTCAAGACTTAGCACATAATAACTAGATATTGAAAGGCTGCCATTCTTAATGCCCTTAAGGCCAGATACACCCACACATCCAGATCACCATCTTGTTAATCCTCACAGGTATTTTCTTTATGGTTTAAAAATTAAACTGTTGGTGAAAAATCTTCTCCTTCACATAAAAGAAACTTGGTGCATGATTTCATGGTAAAAAATTTGCTTTGCATTAAAGAAAGTAATGTCTAATGTGGGTGTTTTTCTGCTTAATGGAACTGTCTCTTTCTCTTACTGCAAATAATTTAAATTCTGTTAATTTTTTTTTTACTATTATTTGCTATCTTCCTTCTCTTAAATCTGTTCAGAATCTCCAGTCTCTCAGAATGAGTAGCATGATGAAGAGATCCTTGCGATTCAGCTGGATCCATTTGTGTCAGGAAGTCTCTTCAGTCATGTGGGGCCATTTGTAAATTGATATGCAGGAGAAGGACCTAAGAACAGAATCTTAGTGTTTGGGGGAGAAACTTTACCCTAAGATGCCTCACATCAGTTGATAATGTAGAATAAATATGCCACCTATAGGTATATCTTGCCAGAAGCTGACTTTTCTGCTGCACATTATTTGCATTTTAAGTATGTGATAAATTAATGTCTTGTTTCTTCCTTAAGACCAGGATGGGTATTGGCAGTCCTCAAATATAATACACAATTAACAAAAGAAAAACTAGCAATTCTGTTGAGAAGAAGATGTTTGTAAACTTATTACAGTAGCTTGACCTGGTTGTTTCAATTACCATTCAAATAAAATATTAGACATTTAATATTAACCCTTTAATTTATCTCTGATTTTATTAGAATACTGTAAAAGAATCCACTAAGAAGTTGGAAAACTTAAAAGAACAGATGAACTGTGATGAGCAAGTTCTGGAGAGCTGGATAAAGGAAATGAATTCTAAAGACAACGATACTATGGCAATCCAGAAGTATACACGACAAGATGAAGGGAAACTAAGAGTAAGCAGACATTGCAGCAGGTTTCAGAAACAAATCAGAGAACGATTTTAGCATTTGAAGACTTTGTTATCAAATCAAGTAAGATGGAGAAATATGTTGTACAACAGCACTTCTAACCTGGTTTCTGCTGAGCACAACAGAGCAATTCCATAGGAGGTTCATTTTAAAGGTCAGAGATGACAGGTTATACAAAAGGTGAAAAGCAAAATTGAAGCCATGGATTTGTTCATCTGGGTAAAATCGAAGTTGGAGCTTTTCTGAGAAAGTGCTCAAATGGATAATTAAGTCTAGAAAACAGTGCCACTGAATTAAGGAGTTTGTTCAAAAACTCCTGCCAAAGGTGAACAAAGAATGTATATTGTCCCACTAGAACTGAATTTGTTCGTATTACTGAGAACAAAGTATGGCTATTTCAGTAAAGCTGCCTAGAATAATGACATGGTATAAACAGACACTCCAGTCACAAGTTTAGCCTCTATAAGGGTTAGTTTTCTAGTATAATAACTTAGAGATAAGTATCCCTATTAATATTTGTTTGAGCTTTTAAATACAGGGAGGAGAAGATTGATTTTTTACTCATTAACTACTTGGCCCAAAAACTGTAGCTTACACAGCCACTCATCCTGACATCATTCATGTCAGCAAGTCACACAGCATAGTAGGAATAGTAAAGTAAAAAGCTGGTGCTGAAGACACCACATACACATTTATACATGGTGGAGGGTTACGCCGGCCTAGCTCCAGTCTGGTCCCAAGGGATGACAAGAGCTAATGGCCTCTTGTATAACCACAAATTTGGGAAGCTAGAATCTCAGGGGTTTTGTTCTCCAAAACACAGTAAAATAGATGCCTCCGTATTTTCACCCCTAATTACAGCAGAGCTATAAGAATTTATAAGACATTACAGATTTATTTTCAAATGAAGTCTATTTTTGCATCCTATCATTTTAGGCATTAACCCTTCAAATAGAGAAGTTGACCACGCAAGCAAACCAGAAGCGCAGAGCTCTTGATAGGGAGCTCACAGAAACCATAACAGCTCAGGTTTGTGCTTAAGCTTCTTGAAGAGATCTTCTTCTCTATGAAATGTTTAAAACCAGAAATCATGGGGATGCTGTCTGTTAAACAGATGGAGCTTGACAGGACAGCTGAAGATCTTCGCCGAGCTCATCAGGAAAGGCAAGAAGTCATCAAGCAGTGGGAGAACACAATACAGCAGATGCAAAAAAGAGATCAACAGATTGATCATTGTGCTTTGGTAAAACTGCTATAACTGATCCATAGTTCAGCCTCCTTTTCCATCTATAATATTGATAGGAATTTTGGCCATTGTATGTAGAATGATTGGGTCTTTTCTATGTTCAGGGTTCTTTTTCTGTTTACCTCTGTATTTTATTAAGGTGTTTCAAAGTTCAGATACTACTGAAATACTGATTTTTAAAGCAGTATCTCAGTATAAGTAATGGTGCTCTGCTTGATACTACACAAGGTTTAATTCCCAGTCTCAAGGTAAAATGCAAAGCAGACCAGTTTCAGTATTTTCTGTGATCTAAGAAGCAACAAGGTAGAGTGTTATTTCTTAAGAGTGTAAGGACAGTTAACTGCAGAGAGGGAATTCTGTGTCTGGGATGCAACAGAAAAAAAAGAAAATAGAGCATTTATTATTGAAGGAATTAGCATTGCTACTTCTGTGAACAAATGCATGACTGACGTTTATGTCAGAATTATGATAAATAATCAAGGTTAAAATTGGTCCTTAAGTACATTCTTGAGAGAAGCAACAGTCCTCTTCTAATCCCAGAAATATCCTGTTGGGTGTCATGAGTTAGTATTAATTTCTAAAAGAGAGAAACTTTGGTTTTGTCAGCTTTGTTATGTTGCCCATATGGGTATTAGGTCTATGTATTTTGCAAGGATACAATTCAAAACAATTGCAGTATTTGGTGTTGTGATGTATTAGTATAAGTTAAGAATAAGATAAGAATGATGTGGTAACAGAGCTATCTCTCATGCCAACAGGAGCAATCTTAACAGCAATCTATTCTCTGGTTCTACCCTTTATTAATCTAACCCATTTTAACTAATGCAAGCAAATCTAAAATGTTTTCATCCTGATAGCTCATAGCAGAGATAAAACAGGAGATCAGGAATAAAGAAACTGTGCTGAAAGAGAAGACTTCCTTTTTGGTAAATGAAACTCTTAATAATCTGGAATATGAAAAGAAAATTTCTTCGGCTGAGCGGGAAGCTGCCCAGCTCCGAAACGAGTATCAGAAACAGGATTCTTACAGAGTTCAGCTGCAGGATGAGGTAAGGATGACCAAATAGTTCAGAAAATCAGACTGAAAATAACTTTTAACCCTAACACTTGACTAGATGGAGGAAATACAGAAATAGCATTTGGGTTTCTCTGGTTTTATGCTGGATTCTTAATAATTCAACACAATTTCTGCTCTTCTTGGTCTACTGATAATTATTTGGATCTGAACCCTCAACTTAATACTTTCATCAATGGTGGTGAAGAGACTTGTATTCTCTGTTGTGTTGGTATAAAATGGCTTAATTTTCTCTTAAATGATGAAATACTATTACATGTTTTAGAAGGAGGCATGTCTTGCCATTAGCATATGTAGACTGCAGTACTGTATAAGATGAGCTAAATGTCCTCCAGATTCCAAATAATTCCTATCCTGTGCTCTCTGAAGTGAGTGTTGATGGTCTTGTATTATTGGTTAAAATTATTGAAAAAACTCCAAACATTTTCACAGGGCTTTCTAATCAAAGGGCAGTAGGATAGGGCTGCCCTGGGAACAGGCCATCCTTGAAGCTGTCAGTGTGTACTATGTTATTTATATTTAATTTGCACTTAAAGCTGAGTATGTTTTCTCTCAAGAAAATGGTAACACTGGCCTAGTCAGCAAGTTGGGTGATTTTTAAAAAACCTGCATCTGCTGTTGCCTTAAGTTTGAATAGCTTTTCTGTAACGGGGTTTATAAACTTATACCCTAATTAAACTCTAGGTAGCTCAAACAAGGAGTAGGCTAGTAGATTACCCTATAATTCAGGCAAATTTGAGTTCACAGAATTGGCAGGTTTTAATCTCCAAGGTGTGAGATTATTGCTTGGTGTTTTTCACAATTAATACTACCTAAGGTTACAATGAGAACAGTCTCCCATTATTAGGTGTTAGAACACCTGTGCCATGCAAGTGAGAAACAAGGAACTGACTGTTCAACTGACAACTTGTGACCTCCCAGTTGCTCATTCGAGTACAGAGAGACCTGCTATAGATCCTTTATAAGGTTTCTTCATCTGTGAAAGTGAAGACAATCACATTATTTAGTGATACTGTGAAAACTAACAAATTACTGATTGTCAGGTATTCCTATCCTGTTTTATGAGCGTATGATGGCATGCCTTTTTTACCAAATTAAACATCTGTGTATTTTTGTCATAGAGTTCCCTTACCTTAATCAAACTAATTTTATGTACGCAACAAAGTTTGAGTTAGCAATACTTAGCAGATATGGAGAATTCCATGTTCACAAAGAACCTTACCAAAGTCAGCTGTGTGCTATAAAACCTTGGTTCCACTTGCACAGATGCTCTTGGAGAAGAGCTGCAGCCCACAGCACCTTCATCATTCAGTCTGGATTTTAAATTATGAAATATTTTTTCCCCAGTTTTCAGATTATGTAAATTAGATTTACACCTCAGAATTTGCAACACTTCTCATTTGGAAAGCACTGAATATTTTTCAATAGGTCCCTTCTAATTTTAAATATCTTAACATACCACAGTAAATAAGAACTTGATTGCTCCATTTTGTGATTTATTAGCTGGATGCTTTGAAATCCACCGTGGACAGAACTACTTCTGAACTAGAGGCTTCGAGAACACAAGTAACGAACCTGAAGAAAGAAATTCAGAAAAAACAAACCAGGTAAGAAGCAGACCTTTAAAAATATCATTTGTAAGGATTAGTAATGTAATCAAATCCTTAAGCTAGTAAAGAATCTTAAATAATTATGATTAAAGCCTCTAACTCTCTGGTTACTTCATGTCCTGAACCTGAGCACAGTTTCTGGCTCAGGGCAATTTAGGAAATGTTCTTGTTAATTCCTGATCTTAAAAGGCACAAAAAAATCAGTTAGGGTCTTGTTTATCATAGGGTAAAGGTTTGCCTGCTTTATTAGGCAGCTGCTCAGTAAGGCATGCTGCTTGGTTTTGCAGTGTTGTGTATGCAACATACATTTAACTTGTTACATTTTGTAATTCTGTTTAGATTAAGCTTTCTTAAAGAAACAAATGCAAGTCTTGCCACTAAACTGAAGCTTGTGACTGAGGAGACACTCAGTGCAGAAGACAAAGCTTTGAGGATGGAAGAAATAGTAATGGAAAGACAAAAAATTGTCAAGGTAAAATGTTTTTCATGGCTTCTGCAAATGAGGATTCATTTTAATTTGCAAGCTTTGTCTAGAAGAAACATTTATGGCTTGAAATGGAATGTCAGTATTAATATGACATGGAGCTGTTTCATCAACACTGAACAAAGGTACAAGTGCATATGTCAGTATCTGTGTTGGGAAAACGGTGGATGAAAATAAGTGGTCCTAGTAATTGAGAAGATGGTGTCCCTACATATTAACATAGGAAGCTGGAACTGTCATTGTACAGATGGGACATAAACCCAGGATTCTGACTGGATCTGTGCTCTGAGCAGGGCCTTTACCTCTGGCATCCACTAAAAGCTACTGACAACTTTTTGGCTAGATGGAAGTAACCGTTATTTACTGGAACGTTGCACAGTCACGTTTTGCTTCTGTTCCGTAACAACAGTGAAAAATTTGAAAGTCTTGCATGTTGCTTAGGTATTTTGGAGCTTATGTCTCCAAACATTCTATGCTATGAGCATGCTAAATGAGCAGGGAAATAGCGTGCTGAACGGCCTGAGGTTGGGAAGGTGTTTGGTGATTTGGGTGGGGGTGTGGAAGGAGGGAAGGAAAGAATAGTTTGTCCTCCTTGTTAGGGTTATAAAAAGAAAATTATCTCAATTTTGTTTGTTTTCTGTACATTTCAGGTTACTTGAAATGTTCAGCATTACTGTAACAGACCATACTTACGCCTTATTTCCTGCACCAATTTGGGTGCTCATGGTAGCTCACCCCTGAGAATAAGGAAGTGATTTTAAAAAGTGCCATTGATTTTTCAAACAAAATTATTCCAATTTACATAAACACACATATGAACATACATGTGCATACACACAGAGTTACAAGTTTTAATAAGCCATTGAAAAGCTTTGTATTCTGTTTCTCCAAATATTTACATATGCTAGAAGCAATAAGGAGGAGGTTGGGTTTTTTTAAAAGGATGACAGGAATTTAGTTTTCTGAAAGGCCGAAAAGAGTTCTGTTCCCACAGTGGGGAAAAAAACCCCCACAATGTCATGTGATAGTAGGGTAGGATCCAAGTTTAAAAAGAAATGAAATTACATTCTCTTTAAGTCAAAGAAAAAAAGAGAAAAAAATGCACATTCTCTTCCATTTAAAGACTTTTCTTGCCAATAATTTTGATTCTGTGTTCATATGAATGGATATAGTATTGACACTTTTTCATCCTATCTATGATTAATGAGGGCAATAATTCCTCAGAAATTACTTATGTTATTGATTACTAATTAGTTCTCACTACTTAGTGATTAATTTGTCACTAGGAAAAAGAAAAAGAACTACACCAGTTAAAAGAAGTACTTTCCAAGAAGACTCAAGACTTCAAGGAGCAGAAAGAGAAGGAGAAGTGTGTTACAGCAGAAATTGAGGGACAGCGAAGAGCAATGAAAAATCTTAAGAGTAAACTGCAGAGACTTGATGTAGATGCAGTAAAACAACAAGAATTAATATATAACCAGGTAAAAGATTAAAGTACCTTTATACTATGATTGTTTACTGGGTCTAATGAGAGTAAATTGCCTGAGCTCTGTCATTTTTGTCAGCATGTTACCATTTTGGAAATGCCATGCAGAATTTGAAGTCTGCATTTATTTCTGTCTCTAGATGCATGGATGAAATTGAAATAACTGAAACTTGCAAGAGTGACATGTCCATTATGCACTTGTGTATGTCATTATTTTTTTGATCTCCTGCTTTACCACCAATTTCTCAAATCACTTCTTCACTTTGATCCCCCCTGAATCACAGACACCTCAGGGTAATTGTTTAAAGCAATAGAAGAGGTACATGTCAAAATCCTGTTACTTACTAATTGGATTTTGTGCATATTTCCTATGCATCACTTTGAAAATTTGTTCTTTTACATCAGCACCCACTGGTAACAGCAAGATGGCAACTCCTCTGTCAGCCTCCCTGCAGCAGGCTGTGCTGAGTATGCTTTGTTATTCCTCTAGATGATTACTCCTGAACCATCACTGCACGTCAGGTATCTAAGAATATTTTGCTAATGAGGTCTATAAGCCATCAATTATTATAAAGCAATAGCTTAATTGGGTGCAAACATTCAGCTCCAAGTTAATATCCAGTGTTTTGGCTTTATAGAAAGGCTATAATTTATTATCTCAAACTATTAATTGTCTTTAAAATTACTTTAACAGGATGTTTATATTCAGCAAGTGCAGAGACGGCTGTCACGGTTAGAAGGGGAGGTTAATTCTGATGAAAAAAAAATTTTGGAAGCAAAAATTGCTGAACTTAAGAAAGCCTTACAAGAGAAGAAAAATACTTGTGATCTTTTAAAAGCGCAGCACAGGAAACTTCAGGTAACTTCCTTAGAACATCAGGTTGACTGTGTAACATCTAGAAGCCTCAGCAGATTAAGTAGATTGGGCTTTAGTAATTAATACATTTGGTATCAGATTATAAGATTTCTGAACTTTGCATTAGCCCATGTGGAAAATATCATACATTCCCTGTACCTTCCACAAAAACGGGTCATTAATGCACAATTGAGACACCTTAGCATGAAGACAAGCAGTGGGATGTTGGAAAGGCAAACTTAGCTTTCATTTCAAGATGTGACTGACTGCTTGCAATGTCTGAATTCATCTTTAGGACCATGTAGAAATAGAATGTTATTCTGTGATGCTACTCTATACCAAGTAACATGACTCAACTGAAAGTACAGTATTTGAGTTAGTTGACCCCATCCTGATGTAGAATTCAGAAATACTGTTTTTCTGTGAGAATTTTGCATATATATGCTTGTTCTCCAGTCTTCAACTATGTAGTGACTGTAAGTAATTCTATAAAAGAAAATGCACTGACCTTTCCTGTAGATCTGCACCAGTCAGTTATTCTGCAGCCAATTTATCATTTGCATTTCTTTTCAGAAGAAATGTATTCATTAATGAGCCACATTTTAGCACATTTAGAAACCTCTTTTCAAAAAGAAACTATGCAAAGACAAATGTCAGTTTTTTTAATAAAACATAACAACAACATTCTCAAAATTATAGTTAAGAAAAAAATTGATCAATTGAGTGAAGGGAAGAAACTGCTTATAGCAGAGGCCTTTAACTGGAGATCCATGCAATAACAAGGCTTCATGTTGGGCAACTGATGCCCACACTTTGGTTTTGAAGAGATGCAAAATTTGAGCCTTGGGTGTAATCAAACACTGAAACACAACTCCAGGAATTTATTCATACTCTGGAGTGTTACCAAAGATAGACGGTTTTATGAAGACAAAGTACTAGTATCAAAGTCATGGTCAGACACAGCAGGAGATTTTTCTATTTAGACCAAAAAACATGATTGTATTGGAACCTCCTGACTGGCTGAAAGATCCATATTGTATAAAGAACAATCACTACACTCCAAATAAAACAATGACATTAATATTGCAACAACACTGTGTGAGGACTCCTGCAGTGCTCTAGGCACTGTTTGCAGAGCAGCAGATGGACACAAGAATATGGTTCCTGGTTCCAGGACTTCAAAAGATCTAATTTAAAATTAACTGGTAGCTTTTGTTGCATCCTACATTTGCTGAAATAAATATGACTTGTTTGGAAACAGAGTGATGTCAATTTAATCAAGAGAGAAATGGCTAAGACAGGAGAAGAAACGGATGGGTTAACAACCAAGATAAAGGAACTAGAGCTTTTCAATGACAGATCAGATAAGGAGTTAAAAAAAGCTAAAGCCACTAAGCAGGTACAGTATTTTTTTGAAATTTTGCTAATACAGCAAATACAGTTTGTTTGAAAACATATAAACTCATGACTTGACATGAAGTCTGTTGTCTGCCTTCCACAGTGCTACATCATTATATTCGTAAGAACCCTCTTTGTAGCTTTCTTGACTTTCACCTTCCTTCCCAAACTTTTCATTGCTATTTTTCATCACTATTACCTTACTAGACAAAATGTTGTTTCTCCTCTGTATACAGCATAAAGTTTGTTTGGGCTATCAGTTTAATCACACATTACTTGCACCACAGTATTTACCTGGTCCGTGTTTGGTTTTTTTTCTGAGAACAGTTGCCTTTACAATATAAAGTATATTTACTGTTCAAGGATGTCTTTACCTAGCTGTGCATTTTTGTGCCAAATCTGTGATGCCAGCTATCAAACGTGGCTCAGTTTTGTTATTAAATTGAGAGATTTTTTTCCAGCAGATGGCTTGGGTCTATCTATATTCAAATTTAAGGAATTAAAAATAAAATGGAAGTCCTCTTATTTTGATAAACAAAAACAGTTTCAAACCTTCTAATTACTTCTTTTCTGCAAGAAGCTTTTGCTTTCCCAAAGGAAGCATTAAGCCTCAATAAAAACTCTCCCTAACCTGGGACTTTTCTTTGGGGATGAAATTCAGGGGAACAAAAGAAAGAAGCTGGTGGCATAAAAGAACTTGGAGAAAAAATAGTGCAGAGTTTGGGATCCATAAGATTTTCTTATTTTTATTTTTTTTTAATGATTCAAAGTATGTGTGGGCTCATAAAGTTCACCAGTTGCTCCTTTTCATAAGCTTTGGTCTATCTGAATTTGATCATAGATCAAGATGACTTGTAGACCTACAGAATCTAGAACATATTCCAAGACAGTTAGAATGGTTCAAATGAGATATTAACTGCTTCAGAAAGTTCATTGAAAGGTCTGATTAACTTCTTTGAAACCTCCAAATTAAAAAAAAAAAGATTGTAGCTGGAAAAGTCTAACAACCCATAACTCAGTCTGAATTAGAAAGTCTGATGAATGTGTAAAACCTTTCAGGAAACAACCTCTCCCTGTCTCACTCACCGTGTAAACTGTTAGCAAATGAGAAGGTGAGAACATTTTAAAATGCAGAGCAAAATTATTCTCACAGTTGAATATACATTAAGTATAAAATAATGGAGGCTCTATAAAATAATTAACTTTTATTCTTTTGAAAAAAATTCTTATTTTGAGACCTTTTTGGTGTTTATTAGGATATGATGGTTGAAGAGAATCTCTTAAAACTAGAATTGAACCGTCTTCAAGATATTCTGCGTGATAAGGCAGAGAAAGTTCAAACAGTGGAAAAACAAAAGTTGGAGTTAAATAAAGCAATAGCACAAAGAACTGAGGAAATTAGGATTCATAAGGCAATGCTGGATTCCCAGATAAGACTTGAGGAGCGGGAAGTGCAACACATACGGTAACTGATACAAAGTAAACTTGTAACTTGTATTGAATACATTTTATATGGGGACTTAGTGAAAAAGAGAAGTGTTTTACCCAGTTTCTCCAGTTAGAGAAACTGAAGATGAAAGAACTCTTGCCCAAACTTACATACCGAGACAGCTGAGGCTAGCAAGGGATCCTTTCTGCAAAATGCAGCCTACGGCTTTAACCACTTGGTGGACAAAAGATGACTGTTTCTTCTGATAGAGATGAACTCACAGAGAGGAAACCCCAGTTGCAGACATCATCTTAAAGTAAATGCCATGCATTTTTCAAAATAATTAGGAAATGTGAAATCATATGACTGGAGGTATGACTAAATTTTTTAAACAGAAAAGTTAGAGGGTTTACTCCCAACTGTTTGATAAACTTGTAATTTCTTTGACTAATTCACAAAGTCTGTTTTGGTTTTTTTTTGGTTTGGGGTGGTTTGGTTTGTTTGGGGTTTTTCCCCCCTTTTTAACAAATGAGCTCTCTGTTGTGTTTAACAACATTAAATCTTCTGAATTACGTATGTTCCCTGTGACAAAGCAACCACATATGAAATTACTTTTCCCTTCTGTAACAATCAGTGCAAAGTATCTGAGACAGTTTTAGCCCTGAAATCCCTGTATCCATCTCCAGCCAAAAATCAACACTTCAGCAGCTGAACTGCTGATGTCTAGCAGGCTTTTTATTCACTCCTCTGCTAACCACACCCCACACAAGAGGAAATTAAGAGTGATTTAGTGTGACTGGAGCTTAACTGCTCACTGAGGGTGCAGACTGTGTGGCTTTTTTCCTTTGATAATTACATACCTAATTGATACTTCCATGTAATTTGATTTGGGGTTGTTGCCTACTGTTGCTGATGCTCGTCTAGTAATGGCAATATTAAGATAGTATCAGCAGGGGGCAGCTTAGCATTTAAATCCTACAGCTGCACAAACCTTTAAAAATGTTTGGGGAGGACTGTGACACAGCCTCTCAGGACACAGGGATCTGGAGTATGAATATAGATTTGACTAGGTATAGAACTGCAAAACAAGTGTAACTAACCAGAAAAATGGATGATTTGGACTGGAAGAACACTAAAAGGAACAAAAAATAGTAGCAGCACAACTGCTTTCCTGCCTACTTCCCGGTATGTGTGCATACTGTTAAAATAACACCAGTAATTTCATTTGCTATAGCAAGAACTGCCCACAAGACACTACCAAACATTTTCTCAGCCTGTTTATTTTTTCCTCCAATAAACCAGTACTAAACTTCAAGATCGCCTGAGTAAAATTGATAGACTGAAATGCAGGTACAAAGTTCTTACTGCTGGCTTGATGCCACCTGACGAAGAGGAAGAACCTCCTATCTACTATCTAAGGAAGGTATTTTATTAACATAATTCATTATAATTCAAGTATTTATGCTACAGATTTCCCTGGGCTCTATTCAAGTATCTAAGACAACCTCTTTGCCTACTGTTTACTTTCAGCCCATTGTTTTACGTTAGCTGACAATGTTAGTTACTTAAATGATACAGCAATTTCACATGAATCTCCATGGTCAGTTCGAGTGTCAGTGGAGCTTTAGTTTTGAGTAGTTTGAAAATTTTCACTTCAGTGCTCATTAATGTACAAATACACAAGAAGTCACACGGTAATCTGCTGTAAATTCAACACTTCATCCCAGTCTCACATGATCTTATTTTTAAGTATTATTTAACTTATTTTTAAGTTATTTTTCCATATTTATTTAATCAGATGACATTTACACCTTGAAGAATGTCAACTTTCTCCTTTTTGCCTACTTTTTTTTTAAGAAATCCAAACCTGCAAAAAACCAACACTCTTTATCCATAATGCAATACCCTGACTCTGGAATAAATATCTCTTCTTTTTCATCTCCACAAATTCTCCAATTTCCTGTTCAAGCAAAATGTTTTTAGCTGCCATTTTGGATCTGAAGTCCATCTTTTTCTCATTAACTGTTAAATTTCTTAACAAGGGTATTTCTGTTTATTGTGAGATCCAGCACAGCAGAAGACCCTCAGTAAATCCCTGTAGTCACTGTGGGTGTATTCCCTTTCCAACTATGGACACTTCTCACCATACCAGATTTTCTGAGGGCTATAGTAAAAACCCCTCTCTTCACCAGCTGTCTGTGTTCCTTAAATCTCATTGACCAAATAAATGAAGACTTTCAAGTGAGTACTTCTGAGACAAACTGGCTACTGCTAATCAGGTCTTTGTGAGCACAGATGGAGTAGCAGATACCTAGAATGAAATGCACTGGAATTAAATACTTCCAAAACCTTCCAATACTGTAAGTAACTACACCTTCCAGTTACCTAGTAACTCAAATCTCAGTTCAAGCCTGACAACACAGATATAAGCACCATATTTACCTAGGATTTTAACTCCTAAATTATGCAGGGTTTTTTTTCTGGATAATTTTCCTAATATTATCAGTCACCTAAAATATGACTTTTATTTTCAGGCTGCACAGGAAAAGGAAATACTTCAATGTAAACGTCTTGATTTAGATGCAAAGATCTGCAAAGCTAAAAAAGAAATTGTAGCTCTGGAAAACACTTTGTGTATTATTAATAACTGCAACAGCAATTACCGAAACTCTTTCAAGGCAGTCGCTGAGACAAGTATGTAAAACAGAAATTGCTATTTGCCCTGTGAATTATGGGGGATGGTGTAACCCAGGAATATAGTGGGGAACTTCCATGGTACAAAAGAAGTAATCTCCAAGACAGACTAAACTGATAGTAGCAAAAGGGAATGTAATTCACATGCTACTATCAATAGTTCAGCAGAGTAAGCACAAAAGAAAGTGCAGTAAGGCATAATTAATTAATCTTTACATGTTTACATCTGATACATGTTAATATCTCTAGTTTTGTGAACAGTCATTAAGTAGGTGTGCGGAAGGGGCAAAAGCATTAAGATGATTACTGGGGGAAAAAAGTGGTGCCCAGGAGAAAGGAGTGCTACTGAAGCACTGAGCTCTAGTGGGTACAAGTTTGCATAGTACAAAAACCCCTGCTTTCTCTATAGTGCTGCATCACACACAGCTACTAATTTGAATTACAGAAGCAGAACAAGCTGTGCCACTGCTGCCCTGCTTGTGGTACACTGAGCCAGCTGGGGCATAAAACTGTGCCTGGAGCAACTACCCAGGCAGCTTAGATTCATGTGTTGCAGTGATGAAGACCAACCCCTAGGCTACATCATCATTATCATTGTCTGTCAGATCCAAGGGGTTGGGCCAAATCAGTAACCTGTCATCTGGGAAAATTACGAGGAAGAATAAAAGTTAAATGGCAATATTTTAGTGTAGTGTCAGCGGATTTTAAAATACGGGCTACCTAACTACAAGGTTTAGATACTGGAGATGCCTCAGAATTCTGGAAAATACAGTAATACTCAGTGATGCAACTTATTTTGAAGTGAAAATTGAGTTGTATGCACTGCTTGTCCAGCATTAATGCTGCCTCATTGTTTGGGATCACAGGTGAGGAGTATAAGGAAATACTAAAACTAGAGGAGGAGAAAAGGGCTGCTGCTGAAGAACACAGAAACAAGCAAAGACGGATCAGGGAACTTCAGGAAGATATTCAGGTAGGCAGAAGTTCCAGTCAAAAAGGAAAGGCTGCAGCATGTAGCTAAACCCTAGTGAAAGAGGAGGAAATTATTTCTGTAGCCACATGGTTCAAAATTCCAGATGCTCTTTTCTGGCATCTAGGAAAACACACTGTGCAGCATACCCCACAGTACTGTATCATCCTGCCCAGTGCTGCAAAGATTAAAAGCCACACATCTTGTGTCCTAAGGGATCTAGGCTCCAGTTTTTTTCTAGGAGAACACATTATGTTTTATTAGCCTTAATTGTGCTTCAGTTTAAATGGTATTACTTTAACTAAAGAAAGCCAAGTAAATCCCTTGTAGATGCTAGTCATGGGCACATCTGAAAATACACACCTATAACTTCAATAACATTACCTTCCAAGTAATTTTTTAAAGACTCTTAAATCACCTAGTGGTCTCTTTATCCAGGTTTTTATCTACTAAATAGTCTGACAGGTAAAAAGTTCTGAATTGTGTTATCATTAGTACTAATTGCTCAAGCTACATTTATAAACAAGTAGTAGTGATAACAGACCCTCTCACAAAGTAATATGAAAAGTGAAAGGATATCAGAACTTCTCTATAAACTAAAACTATTGTTCAAATGAATTTGCAGAGCATGGAAAGAAATGTTGATCAAGTACTGAAGCAGAAGGCCCTCCTCCAAGAGCAAAACAAGGAAAAACAAGCTCTTATTTTGCAGCTGAACAAAGACATTGAAGAACAGAAACTAAAACTAGAAAGAGCTATAAAACAGGTTTGTATATTCATTAATGACAACGTAACTGTAAAGACAGTAGCATGGTTGAAACCAACCAATGTCAATTTAGCAGATTTCTGGCGAAGTGTTGTATTTTCATCATGGTAATGTTTTAAAAATAATTTGTGTTAAAAGTGTTCCAGACTATCCAGAGAAATTCGGTCTCTGAAGAAAACTAAAACAGAAACTCAGGAAGAAAGAGACATTGATCTTCGTGACTTGAAAAGCTTCAAAAAAACCATCGACAAATTGTTAGCTGAGGTTCTAGAAGCAAATCCTGATTTAATGACACCCTTTCAAATGTACTTTAAACAGGTGAGCTTCCAGTTAAGTGCCACCAAAATCCTGGTGCTTTCAACATCTCTTCAACTACAAAGGATTAGAAACTCTCCTGATATACGCAGTCCTATTATACAACACTTTAGTCAACTTTTTTTCCTTCCAAATTTTCTAGGCCAATTTAGAGCTTCCCACAGTTGCTTCTGCTGGTAGTAGTCGAAGTTCTCGAGCACCATCCACACATGGCTCAGGAGCTTCTACCCCGTAAGTGCTAGCACTGTTGTTTTGTTTGTTGGTTGGTTTTAAAGTTAAAACCACCAAAATTAGTTCTTAAATGACAGAATTCCTCACTCCTGAAGGTGTTCTCAATCTCATCTCTACTTCCTGAACACTCTATCAAAACATTCTCCTTATATTGTCCCACTAAGTTTGCTTCAGCATCCATCACAGTTTAAACAAAAACAGTAATTACATAATTGTATTGACTTTTGCTAACTGTGCTCTAATGAAGTGGTTTCACACTGTAAAAGCACAAGTTTGAACTCCAGCCACATTTTGCAGTTGGCATTTTGAGCTCCCTTTCCTATAAAATAAGGCAGGCAGACGTGTATTACTGATACTTTTTTCCCCCTGGTTCAACATATCTTCAACTAATCATGGATGTAACGTGTTGAATCAGTCCTGCTCTAGCAACATTCCCACAGGTTACTTAAATGATTAGTGTTAATGTCTACCAAGATCTTTGTAGGGAATCTTCCCTGGAGTAAACACTGCTTCTGGGTGGCTTTACTGTAAGCCACCATTAGAAGCTCTGATTGAGATATAAGAATTTCTGTATGCTGATGAGTAAATTTTTGTCTTTCAGATCCTGCAGAAGCACAAGGTCAGGCTCTAGTCAGACTTCACTCAAAGTCATAAATCTGAGCTTGCCTACCAGCCCTGAAGCGGCTGCTGTTGACTCAGAGCCACCCAGCAAAGCAAGCACCTCTGCTCTTTATGAATGCAAAAAATAGCCCTAAGGAATCTTTTGAAGGCCAAGCTAAAGGCTTCACTCTAGTTAGGACTTCTTAATTTGTTAATCTGTTATTTCTTTAACAAGGTCTTAGCATTAACTTAGTCTTAGCATTAATTTATATCAGAAATTTATATTTTGACTTTCTTCTACAGTATGCAAGAAATTATCTAGAAGTATTAAGCATATGCTTTATAGAATAAGATGAAGTAACCTTTACCTTACTTCATCATTTTGCTGTTGAAAAACTAAAGATAGGCAAAACCCCTCAAAAGTTATTAATTCACTTATCTTATAATGAAAAAGAGTTATGTTAAAGGCATTAATTTTTGTAAACTGGCATCTTCACTGCTGTCAAAATAGACTGTATTGCAATAACCTAGGAAAGAAAGCATATGCTTCATTTCAAGATCAGCCTTGACTATCATACCATCACTTCAGATCGTATATTAATTGAACAATGACAGTGTATGATGAAAGTCAGTGAAACTACTTTTTCTGTTCAAAACTACAAAGGACTTCTTTTACAACTGGCCTCTATCTATGGAATTGTTTGGAAAACTTGCAGCTGAAGTACAACTGGCATTCTCTAGTCTGCCAGATAGTAGCTCCTTAGCATCTTCTGCCAACCATCTTTGGAGATCTCACTGTAAACAGAGCACAACTTCTTCCACAGCATTGCAACTGTTGCCTTCAGGCTAGCTGTAAAGCAAATAGCTAAAAGCAAAAAAAACCAAAGGCTTGCAGTTGAACTTACCTACAAAATAAACACTGTGTTAAAACTTCTTCAGTTTGGTTTGGCTTTTTTTACATTACTTAGAGAACATGCTGGATGCATTTAAAGAATGGAATACACTTGCCTTCACAGACACTGGAGGGTTCCATCCACCCATGCAGTACACAGCACCAGTGCACCAGTATGAAACATCCCAGCAACATTAACCAAAATATCAAGGAAAGATGAAGAATTACGAAAAACTCAGAAAATGTAATGATCAAATCAGCTATGTACATTGACGGCACATGACTTTTATTCACTGATCACCCTTCTGTAGCTGGAAGCTAAGTTTGATACAAAACTATCAACAGTCAGAAGTACCCTAGGGGACAAGAAAACCAAACCAAAACACGCCTGTTGTTACAGTGCCTATTTTGTGTGAGTTACAGCTAACTACAGCCCAGGGGTATCAGACGATTTCAACCCATCAGCCAGAGAATATTGTACAGGAACATCCCAGATTAAGAACACAGGAGACTTAAATTTTAAATAACTGGTATTTTATGTGAGGTATCCTTGCATCTCTTTCCACAATACAATCTCAAAGTATTCTGAGACATTCTGTAAGACAGAACAAATTTTGCCTTTTCTCTGACCCCTCACATGCGGCTCCTCAACAGATACTTGAATGAAAGTTGATTTAACTACACTCACCAAAATACTATATTTTTAGGTACTTCACTGTTTCTTTTGCTTACTACCTTTTTCCCTCTCAAACTCAGCTATTTGATTGAATATGTTAACTAAGTTTTGGGGCAGGTTTCTTTTAATGCCACTTTCTGGTTGTGCTGTGTCATTACAAGACACTTCTTCATCTGGTTCCTTTGTTTTAGGTGTCTCCTCATAACTACTTCTCTTACTCTTATACTCACTTTCATTTTTGTGCTGATTTAACATGTGCCTACCACAGTCATAACTTTTCTCACCTTCACGTACGCAGGTACTAGAATATGATCTGTGCTTTCCCACTGACTTGCCAGAATAGTCAGACCCTGCTGGAGACACAGAATACCTGTCTTGACCCAAGCCATATTTTTTAAATGGCTCTCTTCTCCACTCTACATCCCTTTCTGATGTCCTAAAATAATGTGTCCTGGGTTTATCATCTGATTTATGATAAGAACCTGAAGATCCTCTCCAACTGGAGAAAAATCTATCTGTCTTACCATATTTTTCAGTTTTGCTACTACTTGGCAGAGTTCTAGAGCTACTGTAAGAATCTCTTGAATCTTCAGACCTACCTCCAAAAGTGTCTTCATCATCACCTGAAGTCCTTGAAAAAGAATAGTGTCTGTCTTTCTCTTTTACCTCTTTTTTGGGACACACTAAGCTGTCCTGCCTTTCCAGCAGTTTTTCCACTTCAAAATTTTGGTTAAGAAAGGAAGCAGAGGTATCAGCCGGAGGCAAATACCACTCCTCTTTCTTTATCTGATCTTTATAATGAGAAGAAGCTCTAGATGAGCATTTTTTGGAGCTGTGGGCAGACGCAGATCTCTTCCGATGCTTTTTCCTATGTTTCTTGTGAGCTGAGGAAGAGGAGGAGGAAGAATTTGAGACATCTGATGAAGAATCACTTGATGATGATGATGATGAAGAGGAGGAAGTTGACACTTTCCTTTTCTTCTTCAACCTAAAAAATTTAATTAATCTGTGAGATAATCTTCAGTATCAGGCAAAAATTCCATGTAGAAAGAATCTGTATTCCCCAGAGTTTGGGTGAAATTGGATTGTAAGGCATGAATGGAAACTGAGCCTCACCTGGCAAGACAATTCCAAATGTCTTTTCTTTATCAAAGAAATAAGATTAAATGCCCTGAACAGTTTGCTATAAAAGGCATCTTTCCCAGATTAATATGGCATTACACTTTGCAAATACTTCATGTTGTGAAGTATAGTGGAAACAACTTCTCTTCCACATATATCTCCATTAAAGGTTTTATGCACTGAAGGACTCTATACACAAAAATATCTGGAGAAAAAGCAGCTTACCTAGCTTACTGTTGGACAACCTGTCTGGAAATGAACTGCCCATAGTCTTATCTGTACTTTTTACCACACAATTAGTATGCTGAATATAACAAAGTTACCTTTTTTCTTCTTTTAAGAGCTTACGCAATTTTTCTGCACTTGTTTCTACTTTCTTTTCTTTCTGTCTCGCTTCTTTGGCAGCTTGTTTCTCCCTCATTTCCAAAGATTTCTTTTTTGAACCCAAGCATCATAAAAAAAGTTACATTAGAAGTGTTAACACGGGTATTTTTCCCCAAGCCCCCAACCCCATTCAAATGTATAATTACACCAGGGATGTTTTACCAGGATTCCCAGATCAAGAATTAATATTTTTCAGGAGTTTGGCATTAGCCATTGTGATAATCAGGTTTACATTAAGGACCATATTGCAGTTTTTATTCCATTTAAAAAATATATTCAACCAGCCATTGCAGTGGTACCCGTGATCCAGCACACCAGGAAGCATGGAGCCCAAAAGGGATAGACAGAATATGCAAGAAAAACACAATATTGCCAACACAGAGAAAAGAAGAAGGGTGGGGGAAAAAAAAGAGAAAGGTTAGAGGGAAAGTATCATTATTGTAGTTCACAAGTAAAACATGGCAGAACCCATTTAAAAATGTATCCAAGTTGGCCATGTTTCAATACAAACCGTTTTGTAACAATTTCACAGACCAGTTTGAGGCATAGTTTACGTAAGAAATCATGTTCCAAGGGTTTGTTGGTGATGAGCAGCACCAGGTGTCAGATACAGCAACAACGGTCCAATTCAGAAGAAAATGCATTGGAGAAAAACACATAATCAGTATTACAGGAAAAAAGACCTCAGGGCTGTTTCAGCCATTCTAGCACAACAGTGATAGTATCAGACTTAGGTATGAAAATAAAGGTAAATGCAAGAATATCTCATCAAATGAATAATCCTTAAACTAATTAAGTCTATTAGAGATCATAGTTCTGCCTTCTATAGCCATAAAGAGTAGGTCTAATTCACACTGAGAGGGAGTTAAAGAGTCTATTGTTTTCAAAACTTAACAACAGACACAACAAAGGAAACCCTCAGTAGCAGCTAACACCTTGCAAATCATCAAACAGTAACTGGTACCCTGGGTTTCATCTGCTGCAGCAATGACCTGTTATATCAAGAAAATGCAAAAGGAGAGTAAAATTGGTCTCCTTCTTGCTGACAATATTCTTCATAATTTTAGCTGAGACTGACACCTCTTTTTAATGCAGCCAACAATGGTTTAGCTATGATGTAGTTCAGTTTTATTAAAAAGATTGTCATATCTCCTCTTCCCCCTTTTTTCAACATAGCCTGTCAGCATTATGGCTCCACCAACTGAAGAACTGACTAGGGCCATCATCTACCCAGTCTATGTAACTCCTTACATGCAGAAGCATAGAACAAAACAAGCCTGCTCCTCAGTGCTGTTTTACTCTTTGATCCTCTCTGGAAGACAACACAAGTAAAGGAGGTAAACAAAAGAAAAAAGACAACAATTCAGATTAACAGAGAGCCCCACCAGGGCTCACCTGGGAAACACGCTGCATGCAAGAAAAGAGGGAGGAAAAACAGACAGCAGAGGAGAAAGCTGAAAACTGCCTGTCCACCCACCCTTCCACCTCCTGTCACTTCCCTTTGAAGCATCTCTTAATTTCCCCTCTTGTGACATTCCTGTGAGTTAGTTTTGACTGCTGTTACTGTATCTTTTCATAACCACTCCAAATAACAAGGATCTGGCTGATCCAATGGTATGGAATGTTTGGCTTGTGCAAGTGTCTCACGTTTTGCACGTTTGTATTCACAGAATGTTTTAACATTAGTAATCATGCTTGTGTGGTGGAATATTCTTATTCTTGCTTTAGCTGACAGGGTTAACAGTTATTTGCTCTTT